CCCTTCCAACCCCGAACATTCTGTGATTCTGTGATCTCTACCTGCCCATAGAATATCAAAATACTTTAGGTTGGCAGGGATATCAGGAGGTCATCTTGTCCATCCCCCTGCTTAAAGAAAATCCAACTAGAGGAGGCTGCTCATGCAGTTTTTGAACATCGTCATGGATGGAGAGTCAACAACCTCTCCAGGCCACCTCCCATGGTGACATTTTTTCTTGATACTGAGAAGTCCATTCTCTGGCTGCTTCCCCCACTAAAGGATCTGAATTTAAGGCGAGCATCTCAAAAGCTTTCTGAATTCTTCATACAAACTACTTTCAGACTGCAGGACATTTCAGCCACCAACACAAAAGCGGTTTTTCTGAGCTTAACTTCACAACTTTCCATAAAATAGAAGTCAAATAGTTACAATCCCATGTATATACTATACAGATATAAAACTTTAAAACCCTACACACGGAGCCCTTTGGGAGTGCCGGCGTAGTGCATATGTACACAAGTCAGTTATGCAGAGGTTGAGGACATCCCAGGATCCTTTCCCATCAAAGTCCAGGCATGATGTAGGCGATGTTGTCTAGTGTGTTTGACTGGGAAAAGAAATTTCGTATTTTTTAGTGTAAGGTAATGACTCAAATCCCTTAAAAATGACAGAGATGAAGGTACTAAGCATGTTCACTTGTCTTACAAGTTACCACATGATGAGACAACCAAATCTGCCTAGTCATCACCACCACTGCTAGGCTTATTTTCATATTTTTGGAAATGTAAGTTAACTAAACATAAAGGTAGCCTCAGTATTTGTAAGCACCTGGAAACAATGAAAATGCTTGAGGTTTTCCACAAGTGAACTTGTCCTTACAAATCCCACACTCTATCTCTGAATTTGAAACAAGCCACATCGACCATATCACATCAACCACAGGAAAGACCGGTGATGAAGGACTTGAGCAATGTGACCAAAGTTGTAGCGTATAAAAAAAATTACTTGACTTCACACTCACAAGTCCCTTATGACATTCTGCAGTGTAAACGAGAAAACCCCTCAGACCTACAAACAAGGTGTCAGATAAGCAAAAGAAGCGCCCTCCAGTTTTCCTTGCAAACCATAACAGATTTCTGAGAGTAAGAGTCCTTCTCGTGCACATGAGAGAACAAGACACAGCAGTAGATTATCTGTATGTTCAAGTGCAGTATTTCAGGATGGCTGAAGGAGGCCTTAGGAATACCACCTTTTAATTGCTGAAGACAGAGGAGCTGGATCTGCACCAACAGCGATTACTTATCAACGCCACCTACTGACTGAAAAGATAAATTGCATCCTACATGCAACATGACCACTGACAATTTCATCTGTGTCATAAAACACCATTGTCATTATGTATCTGATGGTAAAAATCAGAATAATTTCTTTATTATCAAGTCCGAATACCAGTTTTCAGAAGTGAAGGCTAAGTGCGTTAATCCACCTAAAGCTCCCCTGCTCCTTATAACAATAAGTTGATCAAGTTTCCAGTAGACGTGCCATTAGTCATGTGGTGTCATTGCTCTGAGTGCACTTGGCAAGCGAGAAGGAAAAAAAGCATAGGATGTTTTTCCACGGCTTAGGATGGGAACACCCTGCTGACTCAGCCTTTGCGTAGACCGCCAGTTTGTGGGAGCTCACAGCTTAAGCTGTCAACCTTGATGTTGTCAACAGTCCTTTCTCAGAATGAATCAATGTTTGGGCTGCCCTATTATAACATGCCAATGCATATCCCATGTTTGTTGTTCCTTCTGCCAAGCTTTGTTTTTAATCTCTTAACTTTTGCAGACCATATATTCGTTTTTTAATTCTGCTCCTCTCCTTATCCACTTTATTCATGTCTCCTGTTGGAGGTATGACTCCTGATTTTTCTTACGCTGCTGCCATCTTAATCTGTGTCTACATCATGCTACATAGATGCCACAAGCTAAATCAGGGCTCAATATTAAGTCTAGTTTAAAGTGAAAAAGAACCTTTAGTTATGCAGTTCCTTAAAAGGGAGACTATTTTTCTTTCCTTGGAGAAGGTTACAGCCACATGTAAAAGGCGCTACTCAATCACATTAAAAATCCTGAGATCACAAGTTTTTTTTTTATGCTACTAAAGGAAAAACAGAGCACCAAGAAGGTGCTTCTTATTTTTACAGTAAACTAGAACTTTCAAAAATACTGGTATGTGTATATGTGTCAAAAATACTGTATATGTGTACAGGCGCTTTTATTTGATTCAGATGGATTGATTCAGTCACTGGAACAGGACTTGCACACACTGCAATCCATGCTACGAACATTAGGTCAGCTGCCACTGGAAGAAAAAAGTTGCACAATATTGTACACCAGTAACATCTTAAAGAATTTCAAGCAATATTCCTCTATAAAAGTGTACGACCAAGACAATTTTCTTATTGCACTGGAATTATAATCACAAAACTCTAGCTGGACTCTGCTGAAATTAACAGTGCTAGAATAGAAATAACCACAAGGTACTCACCAAAACGTGCTTAGGGCAGCCATTCAACTCAGGCAGTTGTGTGGTCAGACATGCTAACGGGCCCAAAGCACAGACGATTGAATCTAGAAGTACGGACAAACTTCCTGAAACAGCCACCATTCCCTGGAAGTAAGGAATGAGAAAAACGGATAGGGATGAGTAGTGGAAAATATGGTTCTTTCACAATTGTATTGATTCTCATGTAGACACAGTATCTTCACTCCTGAGCTCTTCGAGTCCACTTTCACTATTTACACAGCAACAAAACTATGCCACACGCTTCACAGAGAGACTGCTGGCTCAAAAAAATTAAGGATTCAGTAGGCAACCTACTAGTGCCTTAGTGTAGGAAAAAAGTATGGAACAACAGAAAAGGTCAGAACGTTGTCAGTTGCACAAAACACTTAATTCCACAATTTTTTGTAATGTAATTTCTTTGCCACTTCGTACCACCTATTTTGTTAACTACATGAGTTCTAAAGACAATAGTTGTTTTATTATTGACATACAAAGAAATGCTAAGTCTGCAACAAATGCTTTAGTCACTGATATACTTTCAGGAAAGCAAATTTGTTTGTGTGCCTTTCTGTAAAGGGGGAGATTTTACTCCCGTTGTTCCTCTGAAGAATGACCTCAATCGGTCATAACAGAAACAAAATGCAAGAACATTTATTTTATTGCTGATAAAATAAGCAAGCATAGTGGGATTGAAGATGATCACGATATCCGTAAAATTCAATGATATTTTTTGAGCCAAATATGTGTTCTCCTTCCAGGCTGGGCTGAGTTCCAAAGGCACGTGTGTGTGTGCATGCGTAGAATCACTATAACCTAATAGCAGGAAACTATTAAAATATGACATCTTTTACATCACCAGGTAAGTTGAAACAATAGTAGCCCCTATCTGAAGCACTGGCAATATGACATTGCCAGAAAACAACAGGACATGCAAAAAACATTGTGGTAAAGGCTGATGGTTTTCTAAAAAGGCTTGAGACAGTAACAGAAACTGGACCAGAGATTGGCAAAGATAGCAAGGAAGTACCAGACCCAGGGTGAACATGCAGTAAGAAAAGACTGAAGACTGTTGAACTAAGCATTGCCTTCAAGGACCTAGAGCTGCAAAGGACCTGTCTTTCTTTGATGCCTACTGTTTACTGAGAAACAAGGCTTTTTATTTCACTCCAAACAAACAGCAATGCATCAAAGAAACATGACATGCCATCTATGATTTCTCTTCCTAACAGAAAAGCATTGGCTAAACTATTAAGTAAAATAAAATAATAATCCCCTCCGATCCTGTGTGTAAATTACATGGCATCCCTGGTTACAAACTCACCTCTGTTTCCTGCAGTCTGTGTCCAATGAGGCTCAGAGATTCACCCAGCAACTGTAAGTGTGCAGCTACATCAATAGGATCTGTCTCAGGAGCTTTGGCTGGTGAGGAACACACCACCACGGTGCTGGTGGGGGATTTCTTATGAGGGGAAATCACTCCTGTTGGAGACGCTGGAAACACACAAATTCAAATTCCGTATTCTCTTCTTTCATTCTTTTACTTACAAGCCTATTTACTCAGTAAAGTTCAAATCTCAACAGGCATGAGATGCTTAAATAGTTCTGTGGACCTGGACTTGTGGTCTTTGGAGTCAAAACTTTCCTTCTGTGTGTACAAGGCATCTGTTCCAGCTGAATGCAATTTGGGAGATTTGATAAAGAGAAATGCCAAGCCAAGAACTACCCTTTTTGCTCTAGCAGCAAACTTAACCCACTAGAACTTCCCTTCTGCCTCTTACTGTACATTTCAATCCCTAAACTGCTAAAACCAATACCATTCTACAAATTAAACAAGGAAATCGTTTTGAAAAATGCTAGCATCATTCTCACTCTCAGATAAAAATTGTTTTTAAGTAACATGATGATTTAAATGTCAAGCCTTGTGAGAAAGGAGGTAGGGGTGTGAAGCAGGAAAGGACCTTTGTTCCTTATTTCACAGGTGTCCTGGTTCTGGTTAAAACAGAACCGCTTCTCTTTTAGTGAATCTTCCTTTCAGCTAAGTTCTTCTAAGTACCAGCATTTTTCTGAAGCTGGCTGCACATTTTACAGACACTGTCTGCTCCAAAGCTGATAACACCTGATGTTTATAGCTACACTGAGCTAACGGTAGGAAAGGAATGCAGAAAAAGGCCCCTGTTTATAATTATTGCTATAGCAGCCAAAGTCACCGATAGATCTCTCAGGTCCCGCAAGTGAGGAGTCGGAAGGGGTCGTACTTGTGGGGAGGGGGGGACAGGACAGGTGACCCGATATTGACCAACGAGGTGCTCCATGCCGTGTGTGTCATACTCATTTTAAAGCTGGGGGATCACGAGGGTCTCGCTCTCTTCCTCCATGGCCAGTCCGGCACTGCCTTGTTCTGCCTGGCAGCTGCTGGCGGGACGCCAGGGCCCGGCACCCAACTCCGGAAAACTCCGTATCGGTTTTGTATATTTTACATTATTTCTCTTATTATTAATATTACTGGTATTATTAGTGTTATTAGTAAAACTTTTTATATTAAATTTGGAAGTCTCTCTTCCTCCTTTTCCCTTCCTCAGGTGGGAGGGTGGGGGTTAATAGAGAGCGTCTGTCACTCAGTTTATTGCTGCCCTGCTTTAAACTGTGACAACTGGCAACGTTATCTTCCTTGTCCAAGAAAAAAGATCAGAGCAAATGAAGTGCTACAATTACCTTTTATTTTTGGTGCACCATCTGAAGATGATGCCTTTCTCTTCACAGTGGTGGCCTCTGCTTTATTCTGCTTGTGTTGGAGATACTGAGCTTTCTGTTTCCAGACCTGCAGTTACCATGGTATGAAAAGAAAGATACGTAACATTAGGCAATTCTGTTACCTGATGCCAGGATCTCCAGGCAGAATGATGTGACGTAGCTAACTGGTGAAGCAATACCATGAGAAGAACATGGATGCTTTTATGATTGCAAGGGCAAGGTTTCACTACTTTGCATCTTTACATACTTTGGGGACATAGGTAGCTTTTTTCAAGGTATGGTGGCAATGCTACCAGCATGTTCTGACACAAGCACCTACTTTACAGAAATCATTTCACAAAAACATCTCACACATACACTCACCAGTTTATCCTTCTCAGGTAGCTGCTTCCACACTTCTGCCAGTCTTTTACTTAGCTCTCCAAAATCTGGCAGAATAAGAAAAATGTTCAAAACAGATGTTTGAAACAAATGAAATCACAAAATCATGAAGAGAATTTACTGGCCCATACACACACATTTAGGAAGCAACCCATTCCGCAACTGGAACTCTCCACACTGTCCTGAAAATGACTGCCAGTGTGCATTCCTATTACCGTTTAAAATGAAAAAAAGCTGATACTGGGAATATAAAGTCAAACGTGTATATTCAGGAAAGTGACACAACGAAGACAGCTCTTGTCTTCTTCGAAGTGAAGAAAGAGCGAGCTAGCTATTTCTTTATCCAGATTCACAGCTTGGTTAAAATGCAATGAAATCAAATAATGAAATCCACTCCTGTCCCCTTTGCCACCTCTTACTCAAAGAAAATTAGCAGTTTCTTTGCATTCTGTCAAAATTAAGAGATTGGTACAAAAACAGAGACGATATGTTCTGCTAATTAATCTGACCAGCGTATAATCAAGAGAAGAGAAGGCTAGATTATTCTCTCACCTATTCCAGGGTGCTCAGACACAATAGTTGTACGATATTCCTTACAGAACACTTGATAGGCAGACATGTTTTTCTTCTTTGGCTAGTCAGAAGGAGAAAATGAAACAAAGATTTTTAATTATTATGAGACCTACTCGAATTTACTAAGAATTTGGCATTTACTGAAGACTTAAAGAAAGATGTGGTGCTTAGATCAGCAATCTAAAGCAGTGTTTTACATGTTCTGGCTGAATTTAGTGTTTATGAAAGCACAGGAACCAGCCAGGATCAGTCTTAGTACAAGCCCTCACTTGCAACAATTCCATCCATGCATTTCATTCATGAGTTACAACAACCTGCTATTCTAAATCCAAGATTAACACACAACTCTGTTAATATATCTCTGTTATAAAACTTAAAATAATGGTAATAAAAAAATCTGTCATACTATTCACAGTACCTATCATAGATCTGTCAAAACAATTCAGTCCTCATCATAATGTTTTGTTCCATTCCTTGCCTCCTTACAAAACACTTCAAACTGGCAGGAAGATAGACAGTGTAAGTACACTGACAGCAGAGGCAAGGCATAAGGAGTTGCCAAACTATGATCAGAGAAAACTTACCAAGTAGAACAGAATAATGGACGAACAAATTCCGGCTAGGCCTGCCCATTTCCTGACACAAAGCAACTCCTGTCTGTCTGAACATACAGAAACTGCTTTTGCCGATTTATATACTTACACAGCTACAGTTATAGCACCTGTACAGTCATTCATACACCAGCTACCATTTCTCCTACCCATATTTTTATATGCTAACCATGGAAAACTGAATTTATGAGAACAGGATAAAACTGAGAATGTGGTAGTCTATAAGAATTAGAATTTCATTTGAATACAGAATTAAACTGGTAAGTATCTTCACTTTTCACGCTAGAGCTCAAGCCCTTTTTACAGGAGCTGTGATGATGGACTAGATCGCTAGTCCAAAAGTCTGTGTGGCAATAGCTAGAACTGGTTCCCTTAGAGAATGATGCAGTTCTGTACAGTATAATTAAGTATAACCTTTTCAGAGAACCTCTACCGGCTAAAGACTGCCTGTGCCACAAAACCAGAATGATATGTATTCCTTTTGCTACAAACAGAAATCACAGTGGCTGATACATTTTTCCAAACATGCTACAGTGAAACCACCGATCCTCGTACTAGTTATCCTTCTGTTTAATTTAACATGTCTTTGTAATGGAGTGCCTAATTCACCATTACCCATCACCCAATTTCTATTTTCCCTCCAATTGTTCCTTACTTTTTCTCTTTCCTTTTCTTTTTCTCTTTCTTTTTCTTTTTCTCTTTCTTTTTCTCTTTCTCTTTCCTTTTCTCTTTCTCTTTCCTTTTCTCTTTCCTTTTCTCTTTCCTTTTCTCTTTCTTTTTCTTTCTCTCTTTCTTTTTCTTTCTCTCTTTCTTTTTCCTTTTCTCTTTCTTTTTCCTTTTCTCTTTCTTTGTCCTTCTCTCTTTCTTTTTCCTTCTCCCTTTCTTTTTCCTTCTCCCTTTCTTTTTCCTTCTCCCATTTATCTGCTTTGTCCTTCTCCTTGTCTTCCTTTTTCCTCCTCTTCTCACTTTGACCATCTGAGTGAAAAACAGCAGAAGGAGGTGAAGGAAGAACATAGGGGGTACTGGGAGGAGGTGGTGCTACTGTTACTTCTGCTACTGTCACGGGAGCATGCCCAGAACTCCTTTTAGACTTAGAGTGTTTCTTCTCTCTGTGTTTCTCTTTGTCTTTTTTTTTCTTACTTTTTTTTGACTTCTTCTTCTTCTTGACTTCCCGGTAGGAGTCATCTATCACGAGCTCTCCAGCCTCCAACTCCCCACCAGAAGAGGAACCAGATTCTGGCGGTGCCTCCACACCTGAAATCTCACACTCACTCCCACGGCCCTCTGAAAAAAGGGATTTGTCAGCACTGAAACTCTCAGAAGGTGGATGTGGGTCTGGAGGTGATTTGTGCTTCTTCCGGGATGACTTCAGGAAGCTCTGCAGTTCATGACCTAGCAGGAATGAGCCTTGCTCATCTCCATCTGATTTCTTTGAAGATTTCTTTGCAGCTGCTGGTGTTGAAGAGTAGGAGATAGAATCATCATCTGCTGCACTACTTTTGTCTTTGGGTGAAAGGATGAGCTTCATCTTCAAGCCATCAGGTTCACGAAGAGTAAGTGTCTCTGTGTTCACGTACAGAGGTTTCATTTTTTTAGATTTGTGGAAGCTGCCATCATCCACTGAGTGCTCCCCACTGCTTCCACTCAGCTTCTTCTTGTGGTGCTCCTTTTTGCTTTCGGAATGGCCAGAGGAAGAATAAGATGATTTTTCAGAGGTCTTCTTTGAAGACTTTGAGCTTGTGGCCAAAGGTGAGGTGACAGCCTTGAGTAAATCCATGGTAGTATCAGTTGAGGATGGGCTAGAAACTGCCTTTTTCTTCTTCTTTGATGGTAGATCCAAAGGTGAAACACCTGAAACACACCAAGGGGAATAAACTTCAAGATGATTCCCTTAAAGACAGCATTACACCAGCCCAAAGAAGCGAAGTGGTAATTCTGCAAGACTTATGATTACAGATGACAGATTTACATCCCGGCTTAAACAGATCTCTGAAGCTTGCAGCCAGTTCAGCATGGCCTTACAATTCAGGAGCTGTAATGTCCAAGCTGGTCAAATAATTTAAGGAGGGAAGACAGAGCAGGAAAGTTCTTGAAGTTTTGTCAAACTCTGTATTCTATTGTGAAATAACATATTTTGATGAAAATATATCTTACTGAGCCTGAAATTACATCTCAAGTGCAAGGTTTTCGTGCCATTTTTAGCCAAGGTGAGACTAGTGAATTGAAGATACAGGTTTTTTCATTCTGAAACCAGATTTTGACAAAATTTCAGCTTGCCTTTCTCTTTTCATTGGGCCACAAGTAAATCTTACACCTGTTAAGCTTTTATGAACAGAACTGTACTTTTCTGGACAGCTTATTAATTGTGAGAATGTTTCTGTGTTTAAACTGAACCCCAGAGAATTTATTTTTCACCCTGATGCATTGTATTTTGATAAATTCAGAGAAAGCGATACCATCTGCAAGTTAAAATTCGAGTTTGTAATGCAATAGGGAAAAAAATGTGAATGCCAAAAGGGAAGGTATAGGTTAGAAAACTACAACTTGTCAATGAAAAGAGGGGTGGAAGATCTCTATCCCCCAACAATGGTAACTTGTTAAGCTAGACTCTGAAAATATAATTGCCTAATCTTTTGATGTCTGGTGCTGATCAGCATCGGGTTTCTGATTACTTCTCCTAACGACAGGCTGATGTACTCTCCCTCCATAAAGTGCCAACCACAAATCTTCATGACACTGGTTTAACAGCATCCTTTCCTCAAAGTAAGTTAGCCACTCCCTCTGACTGATTATTGTCTTACCTCTGTAGCAGAACTCATCGGAGGAGTGCTTTCTCCTCTTTTTGTGAGGTTCTGTCCCCGGAAAACGCTCACTGTCCTAGAATAAGAAGAAAAAAGTGATTGACAAACAAAAGGGAAATAATATGGGATTCACATGGACTACTGACATAGATAATAATTTGTAGGAGCTATTTGTACTACTGTAAAATACTGTCATTATTCTAGGTGCTAAAACAAGCAAAGGAAACATACTCTGTCCCCAAGAGCCCACAGCATAGGTTTAAGGTAAAATGCAAAAAGCATGGTACAGACAGGTGGGAGAATACAAAAAATGTTATTAGTCAGGACTGGTTTCAGCACATCAGCCACCTAAGCGGCACCAAGCTTTCTGTAGGCATTGCAGCACAACAGGGCTACAAGGAAACTGAAAGACAGATCTCTCCATAGGGAGCTCCCCCCAAGCAAGAGGAGCAATACACAAGAAAACTTGAAAAAGCACATTTGAAAGTGTTAAGAAACAGGCAGTGAAAGTCAGCTCCTCGAGATCAGCTGATGAGTTGATAAAAGACAGACATCCAGCTCTTAATAAAGCTAAGAAATAACTAAGGATGTGTAGGCTGTGAAGTCTTGAAAATGAAGGTGAGCAGTTCATATTTAATATGCTGAAAACGATAAAAGAAGTGAAAGGAGGTACAGAGAGGTAACAACTAAAATGACAGACCAAAAATTTGACCTTAATACGTCATGTCACCCAATTATTATTTGTATCTTGACCAATTTCCGGTCTGAAAATGAAGCTCCTCTACAGAATTCGAGCTGCACAGTGGAAGGATATTTTAATTTTAAACTAGAAATTCTTTTCCAGATTAAAAAAAAAAAAATCACAAAATAGTCACCTTTGAGCTAACAGCAGAGATTTTAGCTCAAACAGGAAAGTTTTGAAAAAACTCAAGTTGTCACTATGTGATTTCAGAGTTAAGGCCCCAAAGAGGTGAACAGGGCAAGTTCATACCTCTCAAGAGCTATCATTTCAGGCTGTCTGCAGAACTGGGAAGACAACAGCGCATCAGTTAACAGTATATTCATCCCTTGCTGGCTATTTATAGAACCATAAATTCTAAACCATTTTGTTTTGTGAGTGCAAAAAATTATTCATGCTATCTTATGACTTGCAAGGTTCTACATCAAGACTAGGTCAGCATCCTACTACACTGTCTTCTGAGGCCAGAAAAATCAGAATCAGTTGTAACTGGGATTGACCCCCTCCTTTTCCCCAGGAAAGTTACTGAACAATACAGGACATGATTAGCTGCTCTTGCTGTCTTCTACATGCATTTCTATATAAAAAAGAAGAAACCTATCCACCCCAGTCCATCACTACCTTTACACATACCCTTACACTTTCAACCTTTTCTCTGAGGGCTTCCTGACCTGAGTTGCTATCTTATCTTCCTCTTGCAGCAGATCCTTGTAAGCGCGCTTTTTCTCTCGCTGTATCCTGCTAGTTGCCAGCCCCACGTCATCAATGCTTCGGTCACTCTCTAGAAATTCTAAGATTTATGTGAAATGGGAAAAAAGGAAGAAATTAAATACCCCATTAAGGAATGATAGACATGTGGACTATGCACAAAATAAGACAACAGCGGACGCTGGCACAGAGCGATGCACAAAACCCAACACGCACAGGGGCCTAAAAGATAACAATCTGTACTCTCTGACCACAGGGATGGGGCTCAGTACTTGAATGCTCTAACACACTCACCCAAGATTTCATTTCTAACCCTTCTATACTTTTTCCTAAAAACATCTGGACCTAGAAATGTTATCACAACTAAACATATCCTTATCCCTGGTCTCCCATTCCATTGACCTGGCAGGGAGAAGAAAGGCTGCAGTGGCAGAGTTTTCAGTAAAGGTGTTTGCATTAGAAAATACTACTCATCTCTCTCAAGTTCTAATCCCAGTACTTTACAACTGGAACTCAAGGGCTTGGGATCCTCCAGCAACTTGGCCAGGTTAAATTTAAGGGCTCCACAGGATACTTGCTTCTTTTCCCACTCGGGCTGCAGAGGGTACCCTCTTTTTTTTTTGGCAACTCCCTCTGAGATTATGAAGCAGTCATACCTTCTTTCTTCTTGCAGTCAGCATAAGCCATGGTGGTCCTGCAGGAGCCTGAGAATATGTTGCCAGGTCTGGGCTCCTTCCCCCGTTCCCATCTACAGGAAAAGGTCTGAGAAACAGAGAATGAAAATAACTCTCCCATAAAGAAGATTCATGATGTAAAATGTGAAACTTCCTCTGAACCAAGTGAAGATTCTCTGGAAGACAGTGGGAAAGGAAAGGAGTGTACCTTCTGCTCTGTTCATGCTCACACTTCAGGCTTGACAGAATATTATTTTTAAACTAAATTGGAGGTTGTTCTATTATTTTAAAGATATAAAAGACCACCTCTTCCTTATAAAATATCCAAATCACTTAAGTAATTTATTCACAAAACCAGAAAGAGCGCGAGAAGACAGTTGGGTTTGATTTTCATGATACACAAAACTGCACGCAAACTTGTGTCCAAGCCATTTTTTATCAGGAGCCACTGTTACAAAGAGTGGGATGTTTAAAGAGAGATTCCAAACCCTTGAATCTCAGGTGAAGTGAAGGAAGAGAAGGAACCAGGCAGGCATCATAGAATTATTTCAAATCTTTTTAACTAAAGGATTGCACATTTTGTAGCAAAAGTGTGCATCCTTCTGATCTGTTTCCAAACACTACCACTGCAGCCATTCCGAATGCCAGCCTGGGAGAGGGAACGGAAGAAAGCGCTCCTTTTAGATAGGGCTTCCGCAGGACCCCAACCCCTGCCAGCCCCCAGGTTTCAGGCCTCCTCTGAGTCATGCTGCTCCACAGTTGCTAGCATATAGGAGGACAGTGCCCTTATGGAACAGCTGCACTCTCGTTCTCTCAGAGTAAACAGCTTTTGTTCTTCAGTCAGCAATCAGCTTAACACGAAAAGATTGATCTTCTTCTCATAAGTTATTAACCAGCTGCACCCAACTAATTCTGTGCGTTTGTGTGTGCGTATGTGAGCATGCACGTGTAAGTGTTCAACCGCAACGATCATGCAGCTTGTTCCTTCCACCTGTCACAGTCATCTTGCCACACTGAAGCTACATTTGAATACCTTGAAAGCAGGGAACTTGTGCTTGTACATCCCCGCACGTAAGTCAATTTTATAAATAACTGGCTGAGAACAACATATACATCCCATAATGGTTACTTAAGTGCAATAACAATGTCCCAAACAAATCAAGCTTGCAGGTACACAGGAGATGTTTCTGTTTAAATTAACAGGCACACACATGTTATTTCTTCAAGTTTTGGGAAACCATCTGCTGCAGAATGATTTAAGTCAGTGTTCTGAACACCATACATTGTTGGCTGCTACCAAGAGCGCTTAGTAGGCAAGGATTTATGTACACACACAAGAGAACTGTACTTTGCAATAAAAAAGAGCATCTTGCCACTTGTGGGCTCACAATCTTGAACCAGATCTTGTCAGCATTTCACGATGTTCAGTTGTCACATGGGCCTCAGCAGAAACACGTG